TTCCCCCCTCCCCTCCCATGACCCCTGCCTACTCTACTGACACGTACTTCCTTATTTTTAGCGATCAGTAAGTACCAAGGTTGAAAAATTTACCAAATTTTTCGGAAACTTTCCAGTGCTTCCAACCCTAGTATGTTCGTCCGTCATTGTGGCCGTAAGGAACCCGCCAAGTTTCACCCTCTTAGAGCTCTCGTAACGCCTGGTAGGTAGGCAATGTGCCACCTGCAGGGCATGCGTGTACTGCGGTGTAGCCTACGCTGAGTCTCGCAGGCGCCGAGCTCTCCTAATTTGCCGAATGTAACTGACAAATAACGGACGTACTTTTCTGGATCATCCCTTATTCGGGGTCATAGTAGCACGGCGACTAGCGTCGTCTCACATTTCACCCATTTTTCAAAAAGGAAACTCTCCCTTTTCACCTTTATATTGTCTCTACAGCGTGCTGCTGGAGCCGGTGTACGTCGCGTCGACCACTTTACATCTTAGACGAAGGTGTTACACTTACCACCCTGTCAACGGGGTGCCACCGCACCCCCGTGCTTTTTGTAAAGGCACCAAAACGCGCTCTTAATACTTCCTTTGCTGCGAGCGGTAGTTAGAAGCACCCACCAGCACCTTGTAAAGGTCCTTGTAAAGGTCCTTGTAAAGGTGCTCATTTTGCAACTCTATTCCTCCAGAGTGTGGCGTCGCCCCCGCGCGGGCGATAGTTGGTCTTTCTATTCAAGTTATCCGCTACTACTATGTCGCAATATATTCCCGAGCATTCGCGATGGTTCGCGACATCAGAAGGCGCCGGCCGATATATGATTGCGGCGATAAACACCTCCTGATAAGACGGGCTGCCGCCGCGGCTCGGCCGGTGAGGACGCCGACGAACAGTTACGTTTAGATCGCTGCTCGAGTAGCGTCCCCCGTCGCCAGGATGTGCACGCCGCACAAGAACAACTACAGGAAGAGGAAGAAAGTGAGCAACACGCCAACTACTACTGCGCGGCATTTCGTTGAGCGTCGTTGCGGTTCTATTTTCGTGCTGTGCTCGACGACAAATTCTGCAGCCCTTCTTGAAGTGTGTGATCAGATCACGTGAGGGTTCATCACCAATTGCAGCCGCCGCCAACGCCGCTGGTGCGCCAGCCGCGACCTGCGCCTAGTCCTTCCCCTCCCCAGCGATGGAGGACGCCGCAGCATGGTGAGCCCCAGCTTGTCTGACGCACTGTTTTGGACGACTTATTCACTCACCCTCGTGCCTCTCCCCCTCGGCAGGTGGAGGTCGCACCGCGCGGCCCGCGTGCGGAACCTGCTCGACGTGACCGACAAGCTGCGGTCCGGCCGCGGACAGCCGAGTGCCGAGGACCTGAGCGACGCGCTGCTGGAGGCGATGCGGGCCGACAACAAGAAGCAGCTGGAGTACATAGTGCACAGGGTGGAGGACGGCCGTCTGTGGGAGGAGAGTCTGGCCGCCGCGTGGCGCAGGGCGCGCGTCCAGAGGCTGCCCCTGAGAGAGGACATGCAGAAGTGTGCAGTCGACATCATGGTGCAGCTGCGCTACGGGCGGACCACCGAGGAGCTGAGCGGCGAGCTACTGAAGGCGCTGCGGGACAACAGCGTGGAGGGCGTGGAGGACTTACTCTGCACAGTGTCAAACGTCCGACTAAAGAAGGACAGTCTGGAGGCAGCGCGGTGCCAGGCCCCGGCCCAGGGCGTGTTCCTAAGGAAACCCATGAAAACCTTTCTGAAGGGTCTTTTGAGCGGCTACTCGGAGCTCCTGAGCAAGGAGCAGACACTGGGGTGGGAGGCACTGTGGGGCCTGGTGGACCGGTTGCTGGATGAGTACCTGCCGAGCCTGATCGACCTGCTCAGACCCAACGGCGAGGAGGAGGACGAGGCCGTGGAGTTGGCCACGCTCTCGGTCCTGGGCATCCGCGAGCTGAAGGGGCACTTCCACCGTTCTACCTGGGAGGAGGTCGAGTACCTCCTGGTGCTGTTCGTCGAGGCGCGGACCGTCTACAAGACCCTGGCATTCCTCGTGGCCAGCGCGGACAGAATCAGAGTCCACCTGGAGTTCTTCCTGGAGATGGTGAAGGGTCTGAGGACCACGTGCAGCAGTCTCCAGGACAGGAAAAAAGCTCTGAAGGAAATGAAGAAAGCCCCTACTGTTCCCGACCAGCGACTGGACAAGGACTTCGCACTGCTGCGGGACTGGCACTCACTCGACGAGGCCGTACAGGCCCTCGAGGCCGCCATCGCCGCCTTGCAACTACCCTCTAAAAGCTGGAAGGAGTGGGGCTGGCTGGCTCTGCGAAGAGGTCTTTTCCTAGCCGGGGAGAAGATGAAGAACACGTGGTCGTCGCCCAACTTGTCTGTTCGCTACACCAAGCTCCTGGAGCTGACGGCCCCGGAAGGCATCCTCAAGTTGTTGTGCCGTGGGATCCGTGACGTTCAGGAGCACCCTAGAGTACCGGGGAGTAACGCGGAGGCACTGACCATGTCGGACCTGGATTCTGAACAACGGAGGAAGTGGTTAGAGGAGGAACTGGGGAGAGTGCTCCACACGGTCTCAGCCATGCTTACGGAGGCTGAATCTGATTTATTGGCAAAGAAGGGGAAGAATCTGAATATTGCACAAAGGTGGAGAGTGAATTCATCATTACGAAGTAAATATGTGACGCCTGACACCAATGTGGTCTACAGAGAAGTGAAAAAACACCTTGAAGCTGCAAACCGAGGAAAGAACGACAAGGAACTAGAAAAAATCATTAAGGAGCTAGGAGACTTGCTGTGCCAGAAAAATACGATTGATGTTTTTCCAAATAAGCTCCACGAACTTGTTCTTCTTACGGAGAACAACCATAAGATTTATCAGGCTGTGGTACAACACTGCCCGCAAGTTTTTAGTAGAATTCGCCAACTCCTGGATTGGAAAGGTGCTGAAGGCCTGAGTAAGTTCCAAGCCGACCTGAATGAGTCAAGTTGTATTGGTAGTGGTCCTGGTGAGGCGTCTCGCCACGCCATTGAGCGCGCCCTCTCCGCCCTGGAGGCCATTAGACGTGACTCCAAGCATGAGGGACCGGTAAGGCCGTACGCCATAGAGGGCGGGCTGCAGGCGCTGGCCTCCCGCTGGTACAAGGACGACCAAGCTCCGCCACTGCTCGTCGCGCACGAGCCCGCCTTGTTCGGCCGCCAGTTGAGGAACTACTTGAACCACCAGGACCTGGCCATGAAGCTCTTCTTTCCCTCGCATAGGGAATGCAGCAGCCTCTGGACACTTCTTTTTGTTCGCCGCAGCCTAGTCGCTGACCGCCCAGGCGTGACACACAGAGTGCGGGAGCTGGCAGCCGCCGCACCTTTAAACGCTGAAGTGTTGGACCTGGCCAGGTTCAAGGACGCCATGTTCCGCGGCGCGCGCAGGGGAGACCTGGCCGAGGTGCAGCGTGCCGCTGGGTTCGGCGTGGACATCTCCAGCAGGGACTGCCGGGGACGCACGCTGCTGCACGCCGCTGCCGAGGACGGCCAGGCCAGCCTGGTGGACTGGCTCCTAAAGACCAAAGCCGTGGACCCGCTCGCCCGGGACTGGGAGGGGCGGAGCGCGCTGCACTGCGCTGGGACCGGGGAGGTGGCCGAGCTGCTGCTCGCTGCGGGCCGGGGTGAGTACACAAAGGTGTACATTATTACCCCTGGGATCTTGCGCTTAATTTCCTACCACCCCTACATGGCTGGTAAATCACAAAAGCAGCTGCCTTGTGTGGCCGCCTAGCCCTAATAGCAGCATCTACTTATTGTGTATTATTGATTCATCCAGACGTTTCTAGTTGCGCGTGTTCCTGTTGCAGTGGCGCCTTGTGATTACGGGTGCTCTCCACTTCACTCCGCGGCGTTCTCGGGGCGCGCCGACGTGATCCTGGCGCTCATTCCTCACTATGACCTCCACGCTAAGGACGGCACCCTCCTCACACCTCTGCACCTGGCTGCAGGCGGTGGCCACGAAGCCGCGGTGCGCGCGCTGCTGCAGGCTGGCGCGCGGTACGAGTCTGTCGGGAAGAGGGTCACCCCGCTCACCGTAGCAGCCGAGGCCGGCAGCGCCCCCGTGGTGAGCCTCCTCCTGGACCCGAGCCTGGACCTGCTCGCACAGCCCTCGGATGACGACTGCTGGCGCGCTGCTGGCGTGGCTGGGATACGCCGACACTCGGACGTGTTCTCCACCCTCTCGGCCGAGCTGAAGGAGCGCCGCGTGCAGCTGGACAGCGAGTCAGCAGAGAGGTGCGTAGGCAGAGTGGCTATGGGGGGCAGCACTGAGGTCGCCGACGAGCTGCTGGAGCACTGGCCGGATGCTGCGTGGCTGGAGCTCGACCTCTACGGCCAGAAGACTGCCCTTTTCCTCGCCGCAACACACGGTCACGCTGCCCTGGTGCACACCCTGCTGAGCCGCGGGGCTGACCCGCTGCAGCGGGACAAAGTCTCTGACACCGCGCTGCACTGGGCGGCTGTTTTCGGCTCAGTGGAAGTGATCAACGCCCTGTGGGACCACACGCAGGCGGAGCAGGACCCAGGGAGGAGAGAGGAGCTGCTGCGGCTGTGGGAGGGCTGCAGGGAGAAGTACCCACCGCTGTGTGTGGCGGCAGGGAGAGGCCTCCTGGAGGCCGTGCAGCTGCTGGTGAAGCGGGGCGCGGACAAGGACGCGGCGCCGCCCGATGACCCTGACCGTACGCCTTTCTGGGGGGCTGCATACGGAGGACACACAGAGGTGGTGCGGTGGCTGCTGGAGAAGGGCGCCCGCCTGTACGACCGCAGTAAGCCTTCACTCACACCACTGATGGCCGCTGCACAGTGGGGGCACCTGGCCGTGGTGGAGCTCCTCGTGCCGGCCAGCCAGCCCACGGACACGGAGCAGCAGCAGCGCGAGCGCCTGGAGCTGCTGCAGCACGTGGATCCACGCGGGTGGACAGCCCTGCACCTGGCTGTGCAGTCGGGCTCGCTGGCGGTGGTGAAGCACCTCCTGGAGCGGGAGCGGGAGCTGCTGGTGGCGCGCCTTAAGGACAAGAGGCCGCGCAACGTCACCGTGTACAGCGGGTTGCGCACCGCTTTGCAGTGCTGTGTCGAGTGCGACGCCCCCTCCAGTGTGTTCCGCGAGCTGCTCGGGTACATGGAGGACCCGCGGCTGATGGAGCTGGGCGGCAAGGGTGTGACGGATGTGCGCGACATGGTACAGGCGGCGCTGAACAATGTGGACTACTCCAGTCTCGTGTGGACCGTACTGTACGGGCGGGGGCATCACGTCCAGGAGATGAAGAAGGTGCTCAGGGAGTCCCTCCGGCGGCTGCTGGACCCCGTTCCGATCGAGGCGGAGGAGTCTCTACGGCTTCTATCTTTGCAGTAGCTCGGAGAAGTGTGATTGTAATGATGGCAAGGATGTCGGAAAAATAAAACAAACATTTTTGTTCCTGAGCTCGCTTATTCTTTCACTTGTTATTGGCTGCCCTTGCGATCGATTTTCTTCATGATTTGCACGAAGATTCGCTGTGGTGTAGAAAGCTGCAATCAAATTCACCGAGGGGGCCACCACTTTGATTTATGATGTTACAAAGGATTACAGGAATAACACTCGAATTTCAAGGGACTACACATGAATTCGGTAGAATTTCTGTGGCTAAAACCATTCAATTTGGCTAATAAGGTGAAACTAGTAATAATTTTTACAAATTTACAAAATACAAAATTACATTAGGATTAAAGTTCAGTGGGTACACAGGATTGGAGTCGTGGCCTCGTAAAACAAAGGTGTGAATTAACATCTTTCCAGGAGCGTTAAAGTCAAAAGACTTTAACGGTTTAGTTTTTCCCAAATATTTTCTGATGAATTAAACTAAGGTTTGTAGAACTCTTATTTTCGTATTCAGCTCAAAATTCCGCTTCGATCAAGCCTATATGTGATAGGGTTCAAATCCCAAATGAAAGAAATTTAGTAGGTTCCTGAGGGTCAGTTACTTTTTTCGCCGTTCTTTAGACACATATCACATGTAGGCTCGTTCGAAGCGGAATTTTGAACTGAATGCGAAAATATTAGTCCTGCAGTAGTTGGTTTGCTTCAGCAGAAAATATTTCGAAAAATTAAAATGTTAACGCCTTTAAAAGGTGTGATTTCACACCTTTGTTTTACCAGTGTGTGCACAAAGGCAAGGGGGTGGTAGAGTGCGGTGGGGAGGGGAGGGAGGGGGGCGCACTGGCGGATGCGTAGGGGACGAGGCGCGCTTTTGTGGTAAACTATCACCTCGTAAAGAAGAGTTTGGCGGCCGCGCGAAATCCCGCGCTGCCGCACCGCGCCGCTTATTGACGGGGCGTGGCGGGGCGGGGCGAGGCGAGGCGTGGCGGGGCGGGGCGGG